TTCCCTTCCATCTCTTCCTTCACCTCTCATCTCCTTCTCCTCCTCTTTCTTCATCCTCCTCACCACATAGTCAGAGTCTTGGCTCCGAACCAATAGCCTTCTCCTCCTCCTTCACTACCTCCTCTACTTCCTCATTCTCCTCTTGTTCCTCCTCCTCCACTACCGTTTTAATCCTACTATTTTCCCCTTCCTCCTCCTCCTCCTCTCCACTAACTCTCACTCTGGATAGGAATCAATGACGTAACATCTTATCCATATGCAAATTAATAATATCTACAAAAACGATGTTCTAAGAATTGTGTTTAATGGCCTGTTGGTGTGATTTTTTATAATAGTTTCCCCATTAAGAAATAAACACTGGGGGTGTTTTATGGTGTTGTTGTGAGTTGTTGATTCTGTTGATGTGAGTTGTCGATTTTGTTGTTTTGAGTTGTCAATTTTTTTTTGGTTTGAGTTGTCGATTTTGTTCATGTGAGTTGTCGATTTTTTTATGCGAGTTGTTGATTCTGTTAATGTTTTATGATTTGTTGATTCTGTTGATGTGAGTTGTCGATTTTGTTGATGTGAGTTGTCGATTCTATTGTTGTGAGTTGTCGATTTTGTTCATGTGAGTTGTCGACTTTTTTTATGTGAGTTGTTGATTCTGATGATTTTTTATTATACTTATGTTGAAAAAAGTTGATTCTTGTTGCTGCTTCTCCTTTGTATTTATGTTGAAAAGGGAGAAATTTGATGTTATGGGTAGATATGATAATAGATTTTGTACACACACACACACACACACACACACACACACACACACACACACACACACACACACACACACACACACACCAAGTTTCTCATACATTTCTACATAAATTACTGTTTCTAAGGACATTATTTACCTGACAAAATGTCTGTATGTCAATTAATCAATTTATTCTTCTTTAATTAGAGATTTTTATTTACCTGAGTTTTATAATTAATGTAAAAAATGACATGATAATTTACCTGAGTTTTATAATTAATGACAAAATGACATGATAATTTACCTGTTTTTTATAATTAATGGAAAAATGATTTGTTAATTAGATGTTGTAGTTTAATTTAGGAAAGGTGGGTTAGGTGACGTCTACGCTGATTCCGTGTAGATTTAAAATTTGGGTATTCTTTGTTTCTACGCTGCTATGTGTGTATGTATGTATGTATGTATGTATGTATGTATGTATGTATGTATGTATGTATGTATGTATGTATGTATGTATGTATGTATGTATGTATGTATGTATGTATGTATGTATGTATGTATGTATGTATGTATGTATGTATGTATGTATGTATGTATGTATGTATGTATGTATGTATGTATGTATGTATGCATGCATGCATGTTTATTAACTTAGCACCCAAACATCCTCAACATCACCCCCACAATACTAACACCGTGTTGACTCCCCTCTTCAGGACTCCAAGATCGAGACTTACCAGAAGATGTGGCGGTACATGGAGAGCAAGAGACCTTCTGTGTTCGTCCCTATCATAGATGACGGCGTTAAGAGGGTGAGTATCCCTCTCAGTTTGTTGTAGTTGCACACACGTCTATGTTTTACTCTATATTTAGACAAGAGGATAGATTAACATATGCGCAGTTACGTGCACAGGTACACACACACATACACATACACACAAACTTACACAGATGGCTAGATACATATAACATAACAATCAGAAAATCAGAATGAACTTAGGAAGATAGATGTAACCTAACCTAACCAAATCAAAGCTAACCTAACCTAAATAAAACAAACCTAACTTAGCCAAACCTAACCTAACCACGACAGTAAGTGGTTGTGTAGGACTGTCGATGCGTGACTCTGACAGCTGTGCCCCCCCCTCTTACAGGTGTTAGAGGGGAACTATGCCTTCCTGATGGAGTCGACCATGTTGGACTACACCATCCAGAGGAACTGTAATCTGACGCAGGTGGGCGGCCTCCTCAACTCTAACTCCTACGGCATCGCCACGCCCATCGGTGAGTCCTCCTAGTCTTCTGCTCCGTTCTTCTTCTCCTCCTCCTCCTCCTCCTCCTCCTCCTGGCCGGCTGGGACATGCAACCAGTTAATATAAGAGGACTATCCCCTTGCTGTACGCCGCTGAAAATGCTAATCCTTTTACGAATCCAAATCAGTAAATAATTTTCCTCAACAGTATGTAAACTTATTTTATATAACTAAATTTTCCTATAACCATTTATCATTTTATTGTTTATTATTTATTTATTCTTCTTCCTATGTTAAATATTACACGAAAAAAAAGTAACAAAAACAAAATTGTGAAGGAAAATTGAATTGTGTGTAAATGGTTTCTTCTCATATGTTGTCACCACCTCACTCCTCTTCTCTCTCCCCTCCTCCATCAGGGTCGCCATGGAGGGATAAGATCTCGCTGGCCATCTTGGAGCTGCAAGAGAAGGGGATCATCCAGATGTTGTACAGCAAGTGGTGGAAGAACACAGGTGACGTGTGTAACAGAGACGAGAAGAACAAAGACTCCAAGGCCAGCGCTTTAGGGGTGGAGAACATTGGTCAGTTGATCAGCGTCTTGTGGGAAACTCGCCATACAAATACATACATACATACATACATTCATACATACATACATACATACATACAGTACATACATACATGCAAACAAACTCATCTTAGCATCTTACCCATACCTGTACTTAAGTCACAGGCCTTACCACCCCTCTTTACCCCCCCACCCCCCCCACATCAGCTGATCGACTGTCAACAAACTGGGTCATGTGACGGATTTAGCCACCGAGGTCGACCAAGGAAATTCTATTCGACGATGTGTTTGTTTCTTTGTGGTGTTTGTTGTTTTTGTTTCCTCATTGTGTTTGTGATTGTAGTACTGTTATAACATACAATTTTGATATATTTTCCATAGAGTAATTTTATCTCGGAACTGATTTTGTGAAAGTAGTTAAGGTATAATTTAAGTGTATTATTTAAGGTTTTTTGACGTTTTCTATAATGGTGGTGTAAGGGGTAACTTAGCCATTGTATGTATGTCGTGGATGTCCTGACCTGACCTGACGTAGGAGGAGTTCTCTAATGCAAGAAACTCAGCAAATGTTCAGAGGAGGAAGAGAGAGAGAGAGACAGGGATAATCACGGACACAGACACACACAGAGAGGGAGATAAAGAGATAGATAGATAGATAGATAGAGAGAGAGAGAGAGAGAGAGAGAGAGAGAGAGAGAGAGAGAGAGACATGGCCTTCCCTCATCACCCCACTGTTACATACCTCACTGACACTATCCCTCAAGGGCAAGAATTACCCCCCCCCCCAAGGAAGAGATGGGAGGAGCAAGGGAGGAGGGAGGGAGGGAGGGGGGGTAGGGAGAAGATAGGTGCTTGGTCTTAGGCAGATTTCTTGAAGATAAGTTGAAGACTCTAGCCCTAACTTCCCCCAGACATCGGGAGACTGAAGAGACCTACTTGGTGTCTCATGATTCTCTCTCTCTCTCTCTCTCTCTCTCTCTCCCTCTCCCTCTCCCTCTCTCCCTCTCTCTCCCTCTTTCTCCCTCTCTCTCTCAGCTCCGATCAACAACAAATGCCTCCTGTCTTCAGAAACCAATATTTTGAGAGGACCTTTACATCATCTTAGATCAGTACCAGGCAACAGAGTGTCTTATCTAGCCGAAGAGATGTGAGAGATATGAGAGACACTAGGAGAGACGTGTGAGAGATGAGAGACAGCAGGAGAGACAAGTGAGGGAGTGAAGCCTGGTTATTGTAGGAGGGAGGATGTGAGGGAGAAGGAATGATGGGAGGGTTGAAAGGTAAGGAGGAGGGAGGGAAGATAGAGGGAGAGAGGGTAGAAGGAGGGAGAGATGGTTATGAAGGATGGTCGAAGGGAGGAAAGATGGGAAAATAGAAGGAAGGAGGGAGGATAGAAGGAGGGAGGAAGGATAGATGGATGGTTAGGAAGGTGAGAGAAGGAGAAGCGTTGACAAGAGTGATGGTCTCCCTATCGCTCAATGAATCGTAACATGAGGGATAGAGGGAGGCAGTGAAGGAGGGAGGGAGGCAGTGAGGGAGGCATTGAGGAAGGGAGGGAGGCAGTGAGGGAGGCATTGAGGAAGGGAGGGAGGCAGTGAGGGAGGCAGGGAGGCAGGAGGGAGGCATTGAGGAAGGGAGGAGGCAGAGGAGGGGAGGTGAGGGAGGGAGGGAGGGAGGCCGGGAAGGAGGGATAAATAGAGGGTAGGGGGGAGGAGGATGGTATAAGGGAAAGGGAGATGGATGGAGGGTAGGAGGGAAGTAAGGATGGATGGAGGGTACAAGAGACGATAGGAGGGAAGGAAGGATAGATGGAGGGCAACACGAGATAATGAGGGAGGCAGAGAGAGCAGATCACCGCCTCATTACCTCATGCTTCAGGCCCGAGGGAACCTGTCGGGTACTGAAGACGGAGAGAGCCTGTCGGGAGGGTTTAATACTGTTCAGAGGGACCATATCAGAGAGAGACATGTGTGTGTGTGTAGCAGGAGGACCCGTAGCCAGTAGCGGCAGCAGGAACAGGAGCAGCTGAGTACCTCCTCGAGTGCCAAATCTAGCTGGCACTGGCACTGGCCCTGAGAGTTCTGAGGAGAGACTGGGCGAGGTGATGGTGGAGGGAAGGAGGGAGGGAGGGAAAGATGCCTCGGTGATTCCTGGATTTAGTGACCAGAGGAAGAGGAGGAGGAGGAGGAGGGGGGGAAGAGGAAGAGGTGATGAGGGTAAAGATAGGAGGTAGAATTTAGAGAGAGAGAGAGAGAGAGAAAAAAAACATTAGCATAGTAAATAAAGAATAAATGTTGAATTGAAAAAGATGCAAATTAGGGCCAAATGGAGGAGAAGGAATTTGGAGAAAAAAAATTGAGAGACGTCAAGAAAGATGAGAGAAGAGGAGAAAATGAGGGGAGGGAGAAAAGGGAGGAGGAGAGGTAGGGGAGGAGGGAGAGGTAGGGTTAGGGGAGGGAGAGGTTAGGGAGAGGGAGAGGTAGGGGTTGGAGTTAAGGAGGAGGGAAGGGAACAGGGGGGTGAGAGAGGAAGGGGAGGGAGGGAGGGAAGAGGTGGGGAACAGGGAGGGGTGAGGTAAGGGAGATGAAGAAGGAGATAGGAAGAAGAGAAAGAGAGAGACAAACAGACACAAGACAGAGAGAGAGAATGAACGAAAGTGTACATAAGAAACAAGAAGAAAGATGAGGGGAGAGAGAGAGAGAGAGAGAGAGAGAGAGAGAGAGAGAGAGACGAATAAAAAGTGTATAAATGAGAGAAATAGAAAATAAAGAAGAAGAAGACGACAATAGAGAATAGAAAATGAAAGAGAAAGAGAGAGAGGAAAAAAACGATGTAATTACAGAAAGGAAAAAATAAAATAAGGGAAGGAAGACAATAGAAGAAGGAGAAAGGAGAGAATGTAGATGTATGATAAAGAGGGTTATTGATGAAGACACACACACACACACACACACACACACACACTTTTCTCATCATAACTCAAGATCCAAGCCATCAACCTCACCCCCTCCATCCTCCTCCCCTCCTCTCCTCCTCCTCCCTCCCCTCCTCACACCTCACACCTCCCTCCACCTCCTCCCTCACCTCCACCCCACTCACACCTCACCACCCCTTCCTCCACCACACACCTCACCACCTCCCTCCTCCTCCTCCACCTCAACCTCCTCCTCACTCACACACCTCACCACACCACCTCCCTCCTCCTTCCTCACTCACACCTCACCACACTCACACCTCACCTCCTCCTCCTCCTCCTCCTCCTCCTTCACCTCAACCTCCTCCTCACTCACACCTCACCACCACCTCCTCCTCCTCCTACATAGAACCAGTTTGCTCATGAACGTTTTATACGCCATTTTTGTCTCGTGTCTCGTTATTACCGAGAGAGAGAGAGAGAGAGAGAGAGAGAGGACAAAATGCATCTCTCCAACACGTACACTATATTAGGTAGTGGCGATCATCAGCTCTCAGGCGGAAACTTGGCGTTTTTAGTGTGAAGAAATTTTTTTGTTTTGCTTTTATTTTCGTATCTGTGAGGAGTTTCAAGATGCAGTAACTTGAGCAGGCGAGAGCAGGTCCTTGGAATGTTGTGTTGACGTTAAGGGGACAAGAATGTATGTTTGTGTTTGTGTGTATTGCGTTGTGTTGTTCTGGGGTGTGTGTGTGTGTGTGTTTGTTTGTTTTGTGTTTGAGGTTTTGTTTGTTTGTTGATTTACTTGTTGTTTGATTCGTTATGTTGTTTGTTTGTTGATTTTCCTTCTATTTGTGAATGTATTTGTTTGCTCTTGAGGATAATGTTGTTGTTTTTCCTTGAGGTTGACTAGAAATATTATAGATGTTATAAGATATTATACATTTTACCTTGACCATTGACCTCTTCCTGTCGCCTTACTGATATCCCAAAGGTCAGAGTTCATGTAGGAAGTGTCTGGGATGTTATGAGGAGAAGAAGGATGAAGGAGGAGGAGGAGGTGTTGCAGCCATTAGTGTTCCTTTGACGCAGTTTAGTGTATAAGTTTCTCCTGTGTTTCTTACCATCTAAACGACTGAAGGATGAGTGTTCCCAGAGAGTGTATTGCAAACTTTCTTCTCTCTTCAACTTGTCATAAAAAAACCGTCAAATAGTTCTGAAATGTCATGAGAGAGAGAGAGAGAGAGAGAGAGAGAGAGAGAGAGAGAGAGAGAGAGAGAGAGACCTTATGAACCACCCTGTGTTTGGTTAACTTGTCATATGAACATTACAGAGGAAAAGAAATGTGGCTTAACCAGTCCCAAGACTTAAACAAGGTAGTTGATAGACTTTTATGGATTAAGTGATGAGAAAAAATCCCTATACATAGACTTTTATGGGTTAACCAATGCAAAAAAAAAAAAAACACAATATCCAGTAACAATAAATATAGAGAATTGATTTTATTATATCAAAACTTAACATCAGAGTTATGTATATAGTTAACGTTTTCCGTTGACAGTCTTAACCATCCTTAGGACAGACTCATATATTTCAGGCATAAATATTCTTTTCCTTGTTCTACACCGCATCTCTTAAACAAAGGAATTAAGAAACCTGGGAAAAAAATTTAAACTCTTGTTGTTTCTTACCAAGCACAGCGGGAAGACCTTAGGGGTGATAAAATATAATAATAATAATAATAATAATAATAATAATAATAATAATAATAATAATAATAAAACAACAATAATAATAAATAATAATAATAATAATAATAAAACAACAATAACCCAAACAACAACACCTAATAATAACAATAACAACAATAATAACAATAACAATAACAATAACACCACCACATCTTCACTACTCACAAAAACATATTCATGGGGGGGAAAAAATAAACAAGAACTGTGTCACTTAAAAGAAATAATTCGTGGGGCGGCAGCGAGGAGGAGGAGGAGGAGGAGGAGGAGAAGAAGAAGAAGAAGGAGGAGGAGGAGGCGGAGGAGGAGGAGGAGGACCACAACACAACAACTCAACACAAGAAAGTTAAGAACAAAGCCCCAAGTTTATTTTGGTTTGAGGCGCCTGACACAAAAACCTAAAATTCTCAGGTAGAAAAAGACACACACACACACACACACACACACACACACACACACACACACACACACACATACACACACACACACACACACACACACACACACACACACACACACACACACACACACACACACACACATACACACACACACACACACACACACACACACACACACACACACACACATGACCATGGTCTCCTCGCTGCCAACGCCACAACACTTTAAGCAGATGTGACACAAAAAAAAAAAAAAAACGCCCAGAAGAGAGAAGGAGGGAGAATTTTGAGTCATATTTCCTTTTCTTCACCTTTATGGCACTCAGTCATGGCACTCAGTCACGGCACTCCAGTCATGGCACTCAGTCGCTAGCACTCAGTCATGGCCTCGGTCAGCACTCAGTACGGCACTCGGTCATGGCACTCGGTCATAGCACTCAGTGCGCTGGCACTCGGTCACAGCTCAGTCATGGCACTCAGTCACGGCACTCAGTCATGGCACTCGGTCACGGCACTCGGTCACAGCACTCCGGTCATGGCACTCAGTATGGCACTCGGTCATGGCACTCAGTCACGGCACTCGGTCATAGCACTCGGTCGCAGCGCCAGTCATAGCACTCGGTCATGGCGCTCGGTCATAGCACTCGGTCATGGCATCGGTCATAGCACTCGGTCATGGCACTCGGTCATGTGTTGGATTTTGGGGGGAAGGTCTCTTGTCGTCTCTGTTTCTCACTGAGTTTTGTTGTTGTTTTTCTTCTGCTTTATCAAATCTGCTTGTTCTGCTGTTTCTTGGGTTCTACTCGTGTTACATTTGGCTTGATCTCTCCTCTGCTGGTTCTGCTACTGTTACTCCTGCTTTGATCTGCTGTTTCTATTGTTCTACTGGTGTTACTTCTGCTGGTTCTCCTCTGCTTGTTCTGCTGTTTTTGCTAGCTCCTTTGTTAATGACATTGGTGTTAATATTCCTCCCTTGAAACTTAATAAAACAACGACTCCTCCCGTCTATTTTAATCTGCCATAGCGTTGTCCGTTTGTCCGCACGGCCGTCAACAAATATTGTCCACGCGATAACTTGACTTCTATGACACATACTGTAACCATCCTTCACCCACACGTTCTTAACACCCACCTGATGATCCCTATTGACTGTGTCTTCGAAGCATCATATATCAAGAATGTTGTTGTCAGATTTGTAAGGTAATGATCCGACGGGGGAGTTCCTTTGTCACTCAACTGAAGTCCCGAGGGTGTTAATGTCTTGTCGGGTCTCGGAGTTATGTTGTCTTGTCGGTTTTATATTATTATTATTATTATTATTATTATTATTATTATTATTATTATTATTAGTGTGATTTTCAGATATTTATTAGTGTTATTTGAGTGTGTTTGTGTTTTGGTGTGTGTGTGTGTGTGTGTGTGTGTGTGTGTGTGTGTGTGTGAGAGAGAAATTGTGTTTGTTTTCTTTGCCCATCTATATCAATGTGCGTGAGTGTACATGAGTGTGTGCGTGTGTACAAATATGTGTGTGTGTGTGTGTGCATATATGTGTGTGTGTGTGTCCTCGCATGTTCATTCATTCACGTGTTATAAATCATCCCCCCCCACCTACCCACGCACACACACACACACACACACACACACACACACACACACACACACACACACACACATACACATTAAGGGAGTCATGTCAGGGTGTTCATACCTGACACGATACTATTTTGGGAACGTGTGTGTGTGTGTGTTTACGGCTCACTACTGACGCAGGTATGTGTGTCTCCTGCAGGTGGGGTGTTCGTGGTGCTCATGTGTGGTCTTGCCCTTGCCATAGTCGTCGCCATCCTGGAGTTTTGTTGGAACTCTCGCAAGAACGCTCAGACCGACCGTGTAAGTGTGTGTGTGTGTTGGTTCAGTAATCTCTCTCTCTCTCTCTCTCTCTCTCTCTCTCTCTCTCTCTCTCTCTCTCTCTCTCTCTCTCTCTCTCTCTCTCTCTCTCTCTCTCTCTCCTCGTGCACGTATTTGCAAGGAATGACTATCAAGTATTCATGACCTTGTTATTTTTAATTCTGTTATGTGTGTGTGGCAGCATGTGTACATATTTAGTCTGCTTTTAAAGGCTATATGTATTTATCCTCCCGCCTTCTGCTACCTACCTACCTACCTACCTACCTACCTACCTACCTACCTACCTACCTACCTCCCCTCCCTCCAACCTACCTGCGTTTCTTCCTCATTTTTCACCTTCCTCAGTGCTCGCTTTTGTTTGCCAGTATATTATTTATACATAATTGTGTGTGTGTGTGTGTGTGTGTGTTTAACCCAGCAGCCGCCGTGATATGCACTGCCTGCTGGGTTAATTACACTGTCAATTACATATAGTTTATTAGTTAGCCAAACACTCTAGCTACATTATATCATCAACGCTATAATACCACGTAGCTTTTTGTTTATAAAGTTTCAACGTTATTCATTTGTTTGTTTTTATTTATTTTATCAGCCCGTGTTCTTGCGTTGATTCATTTAGTTGTTTTGTTTATTTGTTTAAGATCTGTGTGTGTTTTTAGTGTTGAATTTATTGCTGTATATGACTGTGTTGCATGATTTTCTTGCATGTCCGGCTGGGTTTTTGCATGCTACAGTACTCTGATGACGAGGACGATGTAGGTGAAGATGACGATGAAGAAGGGGGAGGAGGAGGAGGAGACGAGGAAAAGGATGAATATGATGAGAATGGCGAGAAGATAATACGACCTCGAGTAGTACGACCACAGGTAAGACCGTTTATTAGTTATTATTCACGACCCTACCTGGTGATAGATGACGACCCCCTCACACTTCGTCTCCAGGTAAGGTCGTTTATTAGTCACTACTCACGGCCCTATGGTGATAGATGACGACCCCTCACACCTCGTTTACAGGTAAGGTCGTTTATTATTCACGATCCTCACTGTTAGCAGAGAGAAGGAACAAACCCGCAGGAGGAAGAGGGGGGGGGGGATAAGGAAGAAGGAAGAACGGAAGGAAGGAAGGAGATAAGGCAAGAGAAGATAAGAAAGAGAATGAATCAACAATAAGAGAACTGTAAAGATTGGGAGATGGTTCACCCACCCAACACATAAACCTCCTCTTCCTTCTCTTCTTCCTCCTCCTCCTCCTCCTCTTCCTCCTCTTCCTCCTCCTCTTCCTCCTCCTCCTCTTCCTGTGTTAAGTCTCCCAGCCTCCCCTCCAACACACATACCGGATATAAGTAGTTTTTCAATGTTTTTTTCCCCTCTGGCATGTGTTCATATACTCTCACCTCCCCCCTTCTCCCCCTCACCCCCCACCCCCTTTCTCTCTCCCCTTTTTGGTCACAGTTCCTTACATCTCCGTTTTCTCCACGTTAGGGGAGGGGCAGAGGGGTTGACTCATCAATTTAATTTCCCTGGCCGCTGGAGTTTCTCATCTGCTGACTTGTAAAATAAACTGTTTCTGAGGAGAGATATTTGTTTTAGGGTTATAACCAGAGCGATGAATCATAATAAACCAGGCCAGGAGGTGAGGGAGGGAGAGGGGGGTGAGAGAGAGGGGTAGGGAAGAGGGGTAGGGAGGAGGGGGTAGGAGAGCAGGGGGTGAGGGAGGAAGGGTGGAGAGAGAGGTGAGGGAGAGAGGGAGTGGGGAGAGCGGGGAGTGAGGGAGGAGAGGTGAGGGAGGAGGGAGAGGGAGGGTAGGGGAGGAGGGAGGGAGTGGGGAGGGGTGGTGGGGAGAGGGGGACGGAGGGAGGGGGTGGGGAGAGGGGGTGGGGAGGGAGAGGGGAGGGAGGGAGAGGGGGAGGGTGAGGGGGTGTGTGAGGGAAGGATATGGGGGTAAGATGGGTGGAGAGGTGAATGGGTGAGGGTGGGGAGAAGGGTGAGAGAGAGGTGAATGGGTAGGGTGGGGGGAGAAGGGTGAGAGAGAGGTGAATGGGTAAGGGTGGGGGAGAAGGGTGAGGGAGGGAGAAAGGAGTGTGAGGGTTAGAGTTAGGGAGTAAGGTAAAATGACAGGGTGGGGTTGAGGGCGAGAAGAAGGGAGGCAGGATTTCTCTGGTGAGGTCTATGAGAGTAAAGTGAGGATAGGGAGTGATTAGGGAGGGAAGGGATAGGTAGGGATTGACCAAGAAGGAAGGGAGGGAGGTGAGAGAAGGGAAGGAGTGAGTGAACAGATCCTTCATCAACTAGAGAGTGAAGGAACCAGGAGGGGGAGGAGGTAAAGATGGAGGGTGAGGTGGAAGAGGAGAGTAAAGATGGAGGGTGAGGTGGAAGGGAGAGTAAACAGGGAAGGGGTAAGGGACGGAGGGTAAGGAGTTAGGAGGTGAGGTTAGGTTAGGTTAGGTTAGGTTAGGTTAGGTTACGTTACGTTACGTTACGTTATTTTAGGTTTAGGTTAGGTTTTATTAGGTTAGTCTAAGGTTAGGCTACGTTAAAATTAGGTTTAGATTAAGTTAGATATGTGACCTACTTTCGTTAACTTTGTTTAAAGAGACTCACTCAGGAGGCATTGGACTGCGGTGAGAGCCTCTGACAGCTTTATGAGTCTGACTATGAAGGTTTTAACTCAGAACACTGTATAACTCTGACAGTCATGTGATTATGATGAAACACACACACACACACACACACATGCATCAGACTTACTTACAACTGTAAACTTTCTTCAACTCCACAAGTTAAATAAGAATACATTAACAAGGTGACGCCTCAGTTAATTCAACCTGGATTTATATGTGTGTGTGTGTGTGTGTGTGTGTGTGTGTGTGTGTGTGTGTTTCCTCTCGTCATCCCACTCTCTCTCTATTCTCTTCGTCTCACCCCCCCCCCCCCCACCCTCCCCATTTCATTCCATCTATAAAACTACCCTTGTGGGACCCGCATTCCCTCATACAAAAATATTCTTGTAATATCTTATCCGGCCACAGAATAGGGTTATCCGGACGCAGAGAGAGAAGAGAGAGAGAGAGCTATCTTTAACTGAGTTTTACACCAACAATGTTCACAAACTTATTGACGATATCTTTACCCGGGAAGTGAGAGGAGCTGAGACGACCAACTGTAAACCTCTACATTCCGCTGACCTCTGTGTATGTGTGTGTGTGTGTGTGTGTGTGTGTGTGTGTGTGTGTGTGTGTGTGTGTGTGTGTGTGTAAAATCCTTACCCCTGTCATTAACATTCTCATCGTCTATGTTTGCTGTGTGTCTACGTACTATGACTTACACACACACACACACACACACACACACACACACACACACACCACGACCACCCTGGCCCTCTGTGTGTATAGGGGGTAGGAGGGGGGGCCTCACAACAATAAACTAGTAACACGCCCGCCGCCACTTGGAGGAGGAGGTGGGAGGAGGTGGAGGAGGAAGAGGAGGTGGAGGAGGAGAAGGTGGAAGAGGTGGAGGAGGAGGTGGACGGGACTCTGAGCACTCAATTTGCCATGATTTGTGAGGCAGTGTGTGTGTGTGTGTGTGTGTGTGTGTGTGTGTGTGTGTGTCCTGGTGGTAGGGAAGGAAGTGGAGGTCTTCTCCCCTATCTTCCTCAACACGACACTTCCTCCTCGTCCTCCTCCTCCTCCTCCTCTCCTCCTCGTCCTCCTCCTCCTCGTCCTCCACTCTTCCTCAGCGCAACATATCATCACGTTAATAGTTATTGCTCAGAGGACTATAGACCTATGACGTTATCAGTGTGTAATGGTGGCTACTTTGACCAGAGACTTTAGCCTAGTCCCCTCAACTAGGCCTATGTCCTCTCTCTCTCTCTCTCTCCCCTCTGTGTCACTGTAATCTCTCCTCCCCTCACTTCCTCCTCCTCCTCATCCTCATCTTCCTGGGTAGTAGTTCCCTCACTCCTAGTCCTCATTTCTGGCCACTAGAAACCCCTACCCCCTAGCTCCTAGCACCCTACTAGCTCCTAGCACCTCACTCCCCCAGCTCCTAGTAACTCCACCCACGGCCCTAGCACCCTACCCCCAGCTCCTATCAGCCCCACCCCCAGCTCCCAGCACCCCTGCCCCCAGCTCCTAGCACCCCATCCCCAGCCCTAGTGACCCCAGCACACACGCAGCTGCTAACTTGGTCCAGTGTTTGTCCATTATCTGCTTGGTCGTTTCCCTCTCTCTGTGTCTCCTCTCCCTTCTCCCCTCTCCCCTACCCTCTCCCCCCCCCCTACTCCCCCCTCTCCCTCTCCCTCCTGCCCTCTCCTCCCTTTGTCTTCCATCACTCTCCCTCTCTCTCCCTCTCCCTCCCTCCTTAATGTGGCCTCTTTCTCCTTCCCTTCCCTCTCCTTGAGCACCCTCCTCCCTCTCTCCCTCCTCAACCACCTCCCTTCTTCCCCTCCCTTCCTCCGTTAGTCCCCCCCACCTCCTCCTAACCTAACCTAACCTAACCTCTTCATCATATTCACACACCTGTTTATGAGGAAGTAGACAGGTGTTGAGAGCCTTTACTCACAAATACTCACGATGAGAGAGATGTGAGTAATGAGTCACAGGGAAGTAAGTAAGATGAGTAAAGACCATGAGTAAACAGATATACCTGAGTGAGGAAGTGTAGGTGATTCGTGTCAAGGTGTAGAGGTTAATTAGTATACACACCTGGTGATTTATGTCAGGTAAGTTGCTCAATTACTGTGTCCTGTTGTGAAGTTTATTGACGGTAAGTTGGCATTTAAATTGTGAAGTTGTTTTTGTATGTAGGGAAAGAATGTGTGTGTGTGTGTGTGTGTGTGTGTGTGTGTGTGTGTGTGTGTGTGTGTGTGTGTGTGTGTGTGTGTGTGTGTGTGTTTTTTAGTGGTTCGAGGTGTCTGTAGTGTTTTGTAAGTAATTTAAGTAACATGAGGGAACACGGTGGTAAGTAGCATGGATGTAGTATATATGTGTTATTGGTAGTGTAGTGTAGTGTAGTGTAGTGTAGTAGGTAGTGAGAGAGGTTGTGTTAACGTGTGTGTTGTTGTGTTAGAGTTGTGTTGTAGTGAGTGAGGTTGTGTTAACGTGTGTGTTGTTGTGTTAGAGTTGTGTTGTAGTGAGAGAGGTTGTGTTAACGTGTGTGTTGTTGTGTTAGAGTTGTGTTGTAGTGAGTGAGGTTGTGTTAACGTGTGTGTTGTTGTGTTAGAGTTGTGTTGTAGTGAGAGAGGTTGTGTTAACGTGTGTGTTGCTGTGTTAGAGTTGTGTTGTAGTGAGAGAGGTTGTGTTAACGTGTGTGTTGTTGTGTTAGAGTTGTGTTGTAGTGGGAGAGAGGTTGTGTTAACGTGTGTGTTGTTGTGTTAGGAGTTGTGTTGTAGTGAGAGAGGTTGTGTTAACGTATGTGTTAAGTTGTGTTAGAGTTGTGTTGTAGTGAGGAGGTTGTAAGTAACGTGTGTTGTTGTGTTAGAGTTGTGTTGTAGTGAGAGAGGTTGTGCTAATCGTGTGGTTGTTGTGCTAGAGTTGTGTTGTAGTGAGAGAGGTTGTGTTAACGTGTGTGTTGTTGTGTTAGAGTTGTGTCAGAGTGAGAGAGGTTGTGTTAACGTGTGTGTTGTTGTGTTAGGAGTTGTGTTGTAGTGAGAGAGGTTGTGTTAACGTGTGTTGTTGTGTTAGGTTGTGTTGGTAGTGAGTGAGGTTGTGTTAACGTGTGTGTTGTTGTGTTAGAGTTGTGTTGTAGTGAGAGAGGTTGTGTTAACGTGTGTGTTGTTTGTTAGAGTTGTGTTGTAGTGAGAGAGGTTGTGTTAACGTGTGTGTTGTTGTGTTAGAGTTGTGTTGTAGTGAGAGAGGTTGTGTTAATGTGTGTGTTGTTGTGTCCTGCAGCAGTCACTGTGTTCAGAGATGGCGGAGGAGCTGAGGTTCGCCATGAAGTGCCACGGGTCTCGTCAGCGTCCGGCCCTCAAGAGGAACTGCTCCCGGTGTGCCCCAGGGACCACCTACGTCCCCGCCGCCACCGACCTCCCTCAGGCCAACGGCGTGAGTGCCTTCTTCGTCTCCCCAGGATCCTGTTCCAGCCACCGTCACTCCCGAGGCACTGCGGCTGCTGACGTCGCCTCCGCCGCTACTGCCGCTGACACCTACTCCCTCCCCACCGACATGACCCCTCCACCACCAGCTCCTCCGCCTCCCTTCACCTTCCCTCCAGTTGTACCCTCCACCTATGGCTTGAGACGACCCTCTATACCCCTCCCTTCCTCCTCTTCTCTCTTATCTCTCCCTCCTCCACCATCACCTCTCTCCTGCTCATAAGGAAGTGCCTATGACGGTGTTGTCCTCGGCCGGAACAACAAGACAAAACCAGACGAAAGAAATGATAATAAAAAAAAACATATTAAAAGGTTGTGGCACTAGCTGGCACTGGCTGGCACTAGCTGGCACTCGCGGGTGTATAAAACATGTGCATAAATATTTGTCCCTCCTTTTGTGTGGGGCCTCAGAGCCTCCTTCCTGGCCACCCGTAACGAGTGTCCTTCAGTTCTTAATACCACAAGTGTACACCTCCTCCTCCTCCTCCTCCTCCTCCTCCTCCCTTCCTCCTCCTCCTCTCCTCCTCCTCCTCCTCCTCCTCCTCCTCCTCCTCCTCCTCCTCCTCCTCCTCTCTCCTCCTCCTCCTCCTCCTCCTCCTCCTCCTCCTCCTCCTCCTCTCACTAATACCTCAAGTACTCAAGTCACGTATGTTTATCTCCTCCCTCCTCTATCCCTCCTTCCCACGTCGTTGGGTGAGAGAGAGAGAGAGAGAGAGAGAGAGAGAGATCACATTAGTCACAAGGTTGAAACAAACACAAACACTTCCCCACTTTTTCTTTCATCTTTCTCCCTCCCCCCCCTCCTCCCTCCCTCCCCCCCCTCCTCCCTCCCTCCCTCCCTCCCTCCCTCCCCTCCCTCCCTCCTCCCTCCCTCCCTCCCTCCTAAACCCTCTCCTTCCTCCCTTCCTCCTAAACTCTCTCCTTCCTACAACGCCTCCCTCCCTCCTTACTCCCTTTAATCCCACTCTCCCTCACTCCTTCCTTCCCTCCTCTCCTCCTCCACACCCCTCCTTCCCTGCATCCCTACAACCCCTCCCCTCCCCCATCCTCCCTCCCTCCTCCCTCCCTCCTCCTCCCTCCCTCCTTCCTCCTCCCCTCCCTCCCTCCCTCCCTCTCCCCTCCCTCCCCTCCCACAACATTTTTAGCTGAAAAAGTTTCTCTCCTCACTCATTTCTTCCCTCTACTTGTGACGCCGCCCTGACGCCTCTTCGTGAGACCAGGACGAGATGTATTTTTAATCGTGGGGAAAATATAAATCTAGGTAAGATATCTCTCTCTCTCTTCACCTTCCCTCACTATGACTCATCCTAACTCACAAACATTAAAAAAAAACTCAGAATTTTCACATCTAGAGAGAGAGAGAAGAGAGAGAGAGAGAGAAGAAGAGAGAAGACGAAACGATGGAAAAATGCCAAAAAAAAGTCCCACATCCATCGGTTATTCACTTAAAATTTCCCCACATCGACTGTAAAATTTTCCCTGTACCTGTTGTATTCTCCCCACCCTTCCTCCCCTCCCCCCTTCCTCCTCCTCCTTCTCTTACTCTCCCCCTACATACAGCATACACCCAGTTATTGGATTTTTTTTCTCTCTCTCTCTCTCTTTGTTTTCTTTCTTTTTCTTATTCGTTCGTTCTTCTTGTTCTTTTTCTTCATCTATCTCTTGTTCTCCTTTCTTATTTTCCCCCTGAAACTTCTATTATCCTCCCTATTTTTCCCTTATTTCCCTACACCTCTGTATATATTCCCTAGCTTTTTGTGTTTTCTGATATTTTTTTCCCCTTTCTGCTGACTTTCTGCATTTTTTTCCTCAGCTGACAGAGTTTGGCCTGCAGCTCCTCTTAGATGTTGATTCTGACCTACACTTTCCCCCTCAGCTGATGA